TGCAGTTTGACATTGTGTTATATATATATATATATTTTTTTTTTCTTTGTTTTGTAAATCTCTCTTCTTTAGATTGTGTATACACTCATCTGGTAAACATTTTTTGGAGCAAGAAATTGGAATTATAAAAGACAAGTAATATGTTTATTGACACACAAATATATATACATCTTGTGAGCAAAAGAGAAAGGTAGTAAGTAAAGAAAGAAAAACGATATATGTAATATTAATCATTTTATTAAAATAGTAGTTGGGTGGGGAGGGATTAGAGTAGTTAGAAGTACGAGGACTTAGATTCAATCTTCATTGTGATTATCTTTGTAATATTTTCTATCTTTACCAAAAAAAGAAATCATCTTATTAAAAAATAAAATAAAAATAAATTTAAGATGAATATAAAATTTAAGGTGTGAAAAAGATAAAATTAATAAAAAAAATTATAAGAAGGACATTCAAAATTTCAAGATAATAAAATTAATAGATGCGTGATTGACCGAAGCATGTTTTGCTTCTTAAGTGAAGTTTGGAATTTAAATATTATATAAAAAAAATTACTAAAAACATATTTTATCATGATTGAAAATATATATATATTTATTCTATGTTTGATTTACGTAAATACCATGAGACAAAATAAAAAAAGATGAAAAAAAATTATAAAAGTCCAATTTTTTGTTGCTCAATAAACTATGAGATAATTTTTTGTCCAAAATACAAAAAATACTTATTATATATCATAATTTTGTAGTAACATTATCCTGACTCTTACCATTATTATCTAACAATATTTTCACTATTATCTATTATTATTTTTGTTATTAACATGTTATTATCATTATCATTACTAATATTATTATTATCATAATTAATTCTCGTTACTATTATCCTCATTAAGATAATGATAATTCATTATAATAATATATTAATATTAAAAAAAGACAACTCCTCTACCAATATGGTAGGTATATATCAAAAGAAATATTCTTATATTAAAGGAATAAATAAATAAAAATATTTTGAGTAAATTAATTAAGATAAAAATAAAAATAAAAGGTTTAAAAGTTATAAATTACTTATAAAATTAAATTATAAACTTATAAAATAAATTTTTGTATCAAATAAATTTATTTTAATCAAATTAATTTATGAACTGGTTAAAAAAGTTTATAAATTCCTTAAGTGTGCATCTAAACACATGTTTTTTTCACCAAAGTATATTATACTTCTCACTTTTGGTAGATGTTAAAATTATATATGCACCTCTCTTCTTTTATTTTAAAATAATCTCTGGTACTTGCCACATATAACTTTTGGAGCTAGATTGCCAACAAGTTGTTAACGGTATCAAATCATCTCAAAGTGGTTACACAGAAATTTGATACTATTATTTTTAGTTCTAAGGATGTCTTAAAGTATATGCAAAACATTAGCTGGTTTCTGAATGACAAGCTAATCATGTTCTTTACACACTTGTTAGGACATCTAGTTATTTTATAATTACCAAGTTTTTCATTTCATTCTTAGTTGTATTGAATTTTTTTTGTTAATCAGATGATATAAGTTTAAAAAAAATAAAAAAAAATACTTTTATTATTAGGTTTCAAACTTCACTTACAACGTTTATTTCATTTTCCAAATTTACATATTTAAAATTAGTCATTAATCATGTTGAGAATCAAATAAAAGAGAAAAAATATATAATACTTATTTAAAAAATATTATATATATATATACATATATATATATAAGGAGATATAACTCTTTTTTAGTAAATTGACCTATTTAAGAATAAAATGATGATTTTAATGAACCATTGTGGTCGACATATTGATATAGAGGATTTGTGATCATATACATAAGATCTTAAGAGGACGTTTGATACGCAAAATATATATTTTTATTTTCCTAAGAATCTTAAATCAAAAGTTTTAATTTTTTTTATGTTTAATAGTTATTTTAAAAAAAATTCTTAGTAATATAGTTTCTTGATAATCATTTTTATCTTACTTTTCTACAAAAATATTCTCATGGGGTGGGAATCCAACTTTCTAAGTTAAGGAAAAAATTGTATACTTATAAAAATTATTATAACATCCCTTTTTAAAAGCAAAAAATGTCTCTCTCTTTCTATTTCTCCTTTTCTCTCTCTGTCTCTCTCTCTCCCTATGTCTCTTTCACTCTCACTCTCACTCTCACTCTCATTCACTCTCTCTCCCTCTCTCTCCTTTTATTTCTATTTCTCCCTCTCTCTCTTTCACTCCTCTCTCTCCCCTTATATCTCTATTTATCTCTATCTTTCTTGTATATTATTATTTCTTGATCTTATCAATTTTAATAATTAAAGTCTATTTTATTTCTACAGTTTAATAATATTTGTTAATACTTATTTATTTATTTATTTGAGTGAAATTAAATAATATATTTTTAGCCTTCTTACTTATTATGTAGCATTTTTTTTGTTTATTTCTTTTGTTGAATTTTATATTTAAATAATTTTAACTATAAGTTTTTTAACTTTTTAAAATAGTTTAATGTCATATTTATGATAAAATTATAGTAAATAAATATATCTAATAAGTTTATTTTAATAAAAAATAATTTTGTAAAAAACATTTATATACCTAAGAATATACTATTGTAACCAAGCATAAAAATATTTAACTTCTAAGGATCTTGTATAAATATTCTTAGGAACCTTTATAAGTAATCAAACAAATTTTACCTATACCTAGAATCATAATTATCAGGATTTGTAATTCTCATAAATCATAATTTTTAGGTATGAAAAAGCTTATCCTCTATCAAATGTTTCTTTAGGTTCAAATTCAAGATGTCATCGTAATTCCAATAAAAAAAATGGTAACCCTAATCACAAAGTATGTATTTTTTTTTATAAGAAAGAAAAGTGACTTAACAAAGAAGTGGATATAATTTCCTATTTATTATTCAGCCCAAAAATGTGCTCACCCAGAGACACGCTTTAGTGCCACCAAGTCCACGAACAGTAACACATCACTATTGGACAACTAGTCAAGAGAAAATAGCTTTTGTTGTATTAATTATCCTCCTAAGATGTCAACATTAATATTAATGGAATAACAACATTATTTGGTACCTATCCTATAATAGGTATTAACTCATTTTTTTTCTTTTTCTCTTATGAATAAAATGGTGGATAAGGTTGACACTTCATAACTACTAGATAAAGAGTCAATGACATCCTCAAATCAAGCAAAATAAAAAGGTGAATATATTTTTTTGTTTATTATTTAGTCCAAAAATGTTTATTTACTTACATACATACTCTAATACCACCAAATACAAGAGAAGTAACACATCACTATTGGATTGTTAGTTAGAAAATAGTTTGTGTTGTATTAATGATCCTCCCAAAATATCAACATTAATGAATTGTAGACATTATTTGGATTACCTATCTTATACTAGATATTAACTCGTTTTCTTTTTCTCTCTTTTATGAATAAAATGGTGGATAAGAATGACACCTTATAACTAATAAATAAAAAGTCAATAACATAAAATATTCCAAGAGATTTTCTTAAAATTTTATGGTTATATCAAACTCACATCATAAACAAACTTGAGTTGAATCTTGTATCATTTGTGCAAACTTATAATAGGTCAATTTATTCTCTTTTAAATTGGAAAAAAAATAAATGGATCTTATTTAATTATAAAATTACCATGATGATTTTTTCGACCCAAAATACAGTTCCCTTTTATGTTCGGGCCACTCTTTTAACCACATTTTGTCATATTGGTATTGGTGTAGTTAATCTTGCAGGTAGGACTTGGATTCGAATTTGTAGACTGCCGTGAAGTATTGTTTTGGTAACCTTAAAAAGTAAAACATTGAATACCTCACTCTAATCCCCACAACAACGTAAAATGAACTGTTAGGATTTTAATTTCTATATCTATATTATTAATATATTTTGATTAGAATATTTTATCTTTTTATTTTAATATCTAGATTATTAATAAAAAATATTCTCTTTTTTCTCTTTTATTATTATTTTATTTAAATAAAAAATATGAATACACAAAACACCTCTGGCTTAATAATGTAAGTATTAACAAATTCTTAAAAGAAAAATAGAAAATGAGAATAATTAAAGTTTTTTTTATCAATTAAAAATAATATAGTTAGTGTATTTTAAATAAGGATAATATTAACATACTAAAGTTATAATTCACACTATTTCATCAACTTTTCAAGCAATAGAATAAAAATTTTATTCCATTTTATCATGGAGTATACTTAAAAATAACAGTATTTATATTTCATTTTTTTTTATTATATTCCTTTTCGCCTAATCCTAATTTTCTATTTCGGTACCACTAAATATACATATCCTAAAGAATTATCAATTATAAATATGCATATTTTAAGTACCTTAAGACCACCATACAAAATGACAGAGATAAAGAGTGATCTCAAACCACAACTCAAGTGGAACTCAAGTAGATTGATGAAATGTAGAAATGTTTCACTTGTGATGTGAGATAGAAAAGTACACTCAAATTTAAAGATATTTTTAACCACACAATTATAAGACATATAATTCACAAGTTCCCTTCACAAAAACCATTATGGAAATTGACTGCCTAGCAGCCATCAACTTAATTCGTAGAAGATGCTTTGCTTTCCTACTAATACATATTATTCGTTAGTGTTGAAGATTCATCAGCTTTGCTGGTATTAAGGGCCTTGATTGGATGCATACACTTAATAAGGTTGCGAATAAGTTGACAAAGCATAATCACAACTTGTTCATGTCGGATAGGTAATTTCACTTGGCTCTTACTTTTATCAGTAAAGCCCTGTTAGTTGACCAGTCACGTGTGCCCTACCTTTGTTTTGCTCCCTTCTCCAAATCAACAAGACAAGAGAAAGAAAATCAACACGTACTAATTTTATAGGGATTAGTTAAATCCAAACCTATTTTCTTAGAATCACCAACCCTTTTAGCCAGTTATAACACCAGTGGAATTTTTAGTTTAAGAAATATTTCAACACGGTGAATCCAATAACAATCAACTCAACTGGGCTATACACCACAGAATTGATTGTAAATGAGCAGAAAATTCTCGTTTTCATTATGAGAATCCAAAAATAGTTTATTAGCCTGGTTATAAATAAGCAGAAAAATCTCATTTTCATTATGAGAATCCAAAAATAGTCATCTGAATTTTCCTTTTCCTGTGTTAGTTGTTAATATTGTCATACTTCGATGCTACGACGCAGTATTCCTCATTATACCTCTTACCATTCAACCTCTGAAAGCCATGCACAATCACTTATTCGATGATTAAAAATCATGCGTAAGTGAGAAACTTGGGTTCTTTCTCAATCCAAGGAAGGGCCACAGTTATACTCGTACCTCTTCAAGAAAGCAAATATATACTTTTTACAAAATGAAAATTAACATAGCATTTCAATGACCACGTCGCACGTCGGTAATGTAACTACACGTTTACGTAAAAACCAGAACATAGAAAACGACAGGGAGACGTATTAAATATGATGATTTCACAGCAAAGAAATAACAAATTACTTGCCCACTCTTCATCTACCAGCACTTGCCATCCTCGTAGAATCAGCCACTTGAGCAAGCTACATAGGTGGTGTCATATAAGCTGATTGAGATTTGACAATGACCTTCAGAAAGAGAATATATATACATATACTCTCTACCTTCGTAATATCCACCAACACGCAGACTCCTCAATGAACATATGGGCCAAACGGAAGACGTTGTCAAACCTCGGACTAAAGATGACAAACTTCATACACAAACTCGGTTCAATTCGCTACTTAAACTTGGGAGGCCGAAAAGTTAATAACACAATGGCATCAAAGAAAATTCATAAATGATAATGTACAAGTTATGTCCCATGTGTAACTTTATCTCGGTTCACCAATTATTATTTGTCATTTTTTCTTGATCTAACATGTTACTTTTCAACACTTGCCCCTAAAATTAAATATACGTATTGGCCTACCCCCTCCTGCCACAAAGCGGACAATAAAAAGAAAGATATAAAACCAAAATAACAACTTCGACTCGGCAAAACACATTCACACTGAATTAAAAAGTGGTCCCAACGTCTAGCGAATCTCTGGATATATATAGTTTTCAACCCATAACCATTTTGGTTTATAATCAATGGACGGAAACAAGCTCACCTCGCATGCTTCGGATAATAGCACTGCACTGGATTCACTCTCTTTTAGTGACCTTGTTTCTATTCAAGAGCAGCAACCTAAGTCCCCTTCTCCTAACCGGGCTAAACAATACCAGGTAAGCAAGTATGACCCAGAATTTGAATTTACCAGTACTAATGCAAACTTCAATTCTGTTGTCAATACAATCAAGATCACTTCTGCTGACCAGCTTATTTCCAATGGTCAACTTCGACCACAAGCACTTTCCATGCAAACAAATCAGTCTCTGATCACAAAACCACCCAATTCCTCGAGATCATTACTAGCAACCAATAGCAGTAGTAAGATGTCATGCGGTAAAACAGGAAACACTAAGAAATATCACGAACAGAACAAAGCAAGCAATCATACAAACAAGAAAAGCATGGTGACAAGGACAGGGTTTGGCCAGAAAATGAAGTCTTTTCTATCACCATGCCGAGAATGCCGAGACATTAAGCAAGGAA